GAGGACTGCTAAGGAGATGCTGACAATGCCACTGCCTCTCCCACAGCCCTCCCTGACTTATTCCCGTGTAAATATTACTCTCGGGGGGTAGTTCTTCCCATGTAGTTCCAGAGCAGGATTGGGAGAAGTCTCAATGAAATGCAAATCCCACCTTCACCCACCAGCTGTCCAGGACAGAGAGGGGAGGGCCCAGCTTTGGTCCCCAAGCTCTCAGGCAGGATGAACCTCCTTCTCCCCATTTCCATACCGTGTCCTCTGCTGGCTCCGTGGCATTGTCTCTGTACGGAGAAATGCTCTAAAGACTGAAAGGAAATCACGCACCATGAACGGACCAAGTCTGAGCGATACCCGGCTATAGGGCCCTGGGGGAGGGTCTCCCACCCCTCCATCTTCTTGGGGTCAGTGGGTTTGGAAGCATCATTGCCTGGGTCAAAGAAGAGGCTGGTTTCACCCGTGGAAGTTTGTAAAAATCCATCTTCAGCTGTGCAGAAGTTGCTGGTGCTGAGACACAGACACAGCGATCAATGGCTGGTATCAAGGGGCTCCAGAGCATCAAAACAGTCACAGATGTGTCTGACCAGTGCTCTGCCACACGGAAAAAGGGATGTGTGGGTCCATCCCCATTTATCTGAAGCGGATCCATGCAATCAGATTCCCCTGTTCTCTAAGCTGGTGGGAAAAGCTCCCCTTGGGGGGAAGATCAGATGTGGCAACGCGCCAGCAGGAAGGCTGCCCTGGATATCGATACCCATGTTTTTCTTTTGTCTTGCAAATAAAGCTCTGCTCCAGAAATCTCTCTCCATCTCACAAACACTGGCACTCTCTTCTTTCCCAAGCGGTTTGATCAATTACCTTCCTTCCCATGTACACTGCGCTGATCTCAGAACAACTCTCTGTGCATTAGATAATGCTTCTAATGCGTTTCACAACTCCAAGGTTTTCCTGAAAAAAAAAAAAAACCACAAAAAATCCCCCCAAAAGCCCAAAACCCCAAACCCACCTTGCTCTTCCTCTGCTTCTACTGATGGAGAAGCTGGGAGAGGGTCCAGTCACACAGCCCAAGGTCACACAGAGTTGGTGACACATTCTCCCAGGTGATCAAGGTCCCATCCCATCAGCCAGGAATTTTTTCCAAGTACCAGGAGGCAGACATCCCAGGGATAGGATGTAGGAAGGCTCAGAGGAGAGCAGCATTGCCCAGAGCTCCTGGCTGTGCTGGAGATGGCAGACAGCACCCAGGGCCCGCACAGGACGATTCTCCTCCAGCAGTTGGATCTCAGCTTTCAGCGTCTCCTTTCCGCCCTTACAGCTTTTAACAAAGCTCCGTGGACTAGAAGGTGGTTCCTCCAGCCCTGCTGTGGTCTAACTCCCAAAGCAAAGCCCCGGGTCCAGCACGCTGTCAGCCGCAGCCTGTTGGGGCAGAACTCGGTGCTGTTCAGCTCAACCTGGGCTGAGCAGGATCCACCAGAGGCAGAATCGCTTTGCTTGGTCATTTCTCACCCACATTTAAAGACAATAAAAACAAGAGTTGCCTGGCAGCTCCTGGAGAGGAGTGACCTGGCAGGACAATGGAGAAAACACTCCTTTTATTTTGCATCAAGCAATACTCTCCAATAATTGCTACTCACAGCTCCTGTATGGGAGTGAGCTCCATCCATCCAGCTCCTCTTCGGCTGAGGTCTGTCTTTCTGCAGGACATGCTGCAAGGCTTTTTTTCCCCCCCTGGTCTCTGGCACTTTTTTCCACCCAAGAACACAGAATATCAGGATATTTATATTGTTTGTGGAGCTGTAAATCATTATTAGAGCAATAGTCCGTGGGCAAAACAAGCAGGAGGAGGTTTAGAACAGACCCTCCTGCTAACTGAAGGGCTTTGAGTCACTGACCACAGCCTTCGGGTCAGCAGAAACCTCAGCCACGATCAGGTTTGGTACTTCAGACCTGGCCAGAGCAGGGTGCAGGGGCACACGGAGGTGGCCAGTTCCTGATAGAAGCTGAACCTCTCTCCAAGCTGAGTTAGACGGGAACACCCGATAGAACGAGATCCCAGAGGAGAAACCCGAGAGAGGTTCTGCCGAGCCAGAGCCACACTGCAGCCTGCGGATGTTCAGAACACACAAGTTAATTCACCTGAAGAGCTGAGGCTTGTAGGTGCATGCACATTACCATGTGGGGCTTTACAATTCATTTCAGGTAAACCTAAGCTCCTTGTCTTTTGTTTGCTCAGCCTGACACACACAGATTTCTGCGGTTTGTAATCTTTGTAACCATGAGAACTGGAATTTTTTCTGTTTCCTTAAAATGAAAGCTTAGATTCTCTCAGTTTCTTACCCAGTAGGGCTACAGGTTGGAAACAAATTCTGGATATTGTCTGATCTGTGATATTAGTCACAAGAGCTGGTAGCTGGGGAGAGAGAAAGAAAAAAAAGATTGGTCTCAGCGCAATGAATAGTGAGGTGACTGTGCACAGGTTTCAGCTGGAGGACCAAGACAGTCAGAGGCTGTTGTATTTTCTGACTACAAGGACTCAAAGCTCACGTGCAGGACAGGCCGACGAAGGGCGATCTCCCGAGTCACGTTAGGATGGAGACTCTGGTCATACCCTTCCACATGAGCCACCAGAGCTCGGCCAGGCACCCGCGGCTTGCGAGCGCAGCCCCATCAGCTGACGCCAAGGTGAGGGATGTCTCCAGCCAGACAAAAAGCAGCCCTGTTCCCTTCAGCTCTGTAGGAAACATCAGGAAAAACAACTGACAATCACATGTGAAGAGACAAGAAGTAGGCTTGTAATGACTTGACGCACTCTTCCTTAACATTTTCTCCAAAGACCGGACCGATTTCTTTTTTTCCCAGGCCCTTTCCCAGCGTTGGGCTGATCGTGTCCACTTGAGACCTACCACAGGCACCGTGCTTACAAAAGGTCAAGTGAACAAATGCAAACTGGTGGCAAGAAAAGAGAACAAAACCTGTCAGCTCCATTAATGGGATTTGGGGCTTGCTTGTTCTCAGAGCCATCGCTGTTCATGCAGTTCAGCGGCATCCACAGCTACATTTTAACTTAGAGAACACACATGTTCCATCCCACAGACTTTTGTGGATCAGTGGATGTTGTTACCAGTCGGAGAGGTGCCTAACAGAATGCCCAGAATTCCCAACTTCAGGGAAACGGGGATTTAATTCAGAGGTTCCTAAGCAGACCACCGCAAAAAGCTTCAATGGAGACTCTGGAGTCACTACTCCAGAAAGCAAATCCCATTATTTTCCAAGCACAGTACGAAGGCACTGCAGTTCTTCGCACTCAGCACAGCCGAGGCTGAAAGACTCCTTGCTTGTAAATTCCCCTCGAGCTACCAAATACGTGTGAGAACTCTTTAATCTCAGATTTCCTGAGCAAAATCAGACAATACAGTTGCTTGCCCTTCTGGCTGCACACCGCAGCACCAGGCAGGGGAACAGGCACACCGCTATCAAGCGGAGGTGCGGCTATCCCCAACCCAATTCATCAGCCCCAATATTGCAGCATTTATCTTACGCTTCCTCCTGCCACTCTGAGCATCTTCTCCCACACCCACCTCACTGCCGAGACATTCTGTGCAGCGATCGTACGGGGCTTTTTGCTGGTAAGGACAGATTGTTCTCTTCTGGAACAGGACGTCTTTTAATCCTGTGATATAATCCCTTCTGTTTTGGAAGCAAACCACTCGAATGTAAAAATATATACACACACCTTCTCTGTTGTGTTTTCTCTCCTTTAACAAGTGTACTAGAAAGTAGGTGACTATTTATTCAGCACTGTACACAGTAGTTTACAGAACACAGATGCTGATTTTTATGCCAAGTGACACGATGTGAACACAGAAAAATGTCCATAGCCTGGGTCTTATCTTTGTCCTTGTCCCTGTACTGCAGGAACTCGCATCTGTAGGGAGCAGAATCGAGACTTACCTAAGGCAATTCCTCCTGGAGTCCTTCTGGAGGAGGCTCCAGCTGTGAAACCTGCCTCCCCAGCTGCTCCTTACCTCAGGAACTGGCCAAGAGGCAATTCTGGAAGCATCCAGAGAAGAATCAAGTAATTAAACACTGACGACCTTTTAGAACTGGAATTAGCAGAGATTGGAGGTTGACCTGCTGTCCAGGTGGTAAGAACGAGGAAGATGTGAAATGGGAGCTCGCTAGAGAACACTGTTACTTCAGGTTGTTCATGTTTGAACAGATCAAAGTTACTTTTTGTATCACGTTCTGTCTGAGCTACTTTAATACTTTGATTTCTACTCCATTATTCAGCATACCAAGTATGAAATAATTAGTTTGTGTGCAAAGATCAAGTTAAGGCAGATAGTTCGTTGATTCAGGAACAGAACAACTGACATTCCACAGCAGCGCTCTGCTGAAGCTCGGAGGAGCTTTCCTGTCGGCTGCCTGTCTCCATCTGTTCCCTTTTCTCAGCGGAGATGCAATCGGAGCTATGGTGAAGAACTACAGACCAACCACTGCTACTGCGAGGTGACCAGGACATTAACATCGACTGGTAACTACACAGGATAATCCTACACAACCCCCCTCCTTGGGAAATTGTAACTAGAGGTTTGCTAAAGGCAAGCTGACTGCAAATCCCCTCCGCTGCCTTGCCTTCAAATTAGAAACTAAGAGAATTGCCAGGAGACGGGCTTGGATTGAAAGGAAGCGTTGGAAGAGTCACCTGCAAGACTGACCACAAAAACCCTCGTGCAGCTTGTGTCCCCTGGAGCGGGGAGAGGAAGTTTCACCCGGAGGCAGTGGTTCTGGTCAGATCCACTTGCAGCAGCAGCAGCTATTTCACTAGTCCGCTCCTCTGGGATGAGCCCAGCGTGACATCTACTACACCTATACTCAGGGTGTAACAACTGAGGCTGGTCTTAAATCTACTACAATGGGACAATCTTTTCATCCAGCACCAAATTCCTTTCCTTATGAGTAGGCACAGTGGTATAGCTCATAAGAAACTACTATCAAGTAAACTGAATAGAAAATCAAATACTTTAATGAAATTAGGGAGCACGAGAGTAACAGCTCAGATATACCACTAGAACTGATACTACTGGGCTGTGGGGGTTTGCTTATTTTTTTTTTAAATGCTCTGTTCTTCAACAAGCATGCAGATTGACAAACTACAGATTCTTCAGAGTGTCAAAGGTCCTGAGTAAAGAATTTCAAACCACTTAAAATGAATATATAGGAAATGCCTGACGAGCTGGTGGCCTGCACACAGCATTGCACAGAAAAATATACTACTCTCAATACACAGAGCTAAATACTTTCACATTTATCAGAATTTTCTACACAAGCCTTTTGATAGAATTCAAGTTTTGAATTTTCTGTATATATCTTCCACCTGTATTAAACAAATGCTTATTTACATCGTGGAGAAAGTGTAAAGGCTAGGAAGGCCGTACTCCCATACTGTACTGTAACACTGCAAAATATATATACACATAGATAACCTAATATAGGCAACAGTTCTAAAAAAGTCACCTTACATTTGTACAACATAACTGAGTCAGTATGAAAAGACAGCTTTGTTAGCACCAACCCACTCCAATGGTTTTATGAACCATCTTGAGCCTTCTAGTTCCGCAGGGAAGGACTGCTCAGCGCAGCACTCCAGCTACCGAGCAATGGGGGTCCTGCTCGCAGAACTGAACGCCCAAGTGACACCCCACAGGACCACGGTATGTGAATTACTGAAGAGTGGGTGTAGGAGCATCCAGAGACGAGCTCTGCAGTGTTACAAGGTGACACTCCAGCAGAACAGTCACCAAGACATTTATCAGATTTAAGTCTTTCACATCATCCTGTCTCATTAGTATCTTTCCTTTGGATTCACAATATTAAGTATGGAATTGCCAAGAGAATGGAGGTTACTCAAGCTAGGCAGTTCACAAGCCAGGTTTTAGCCCGATGCCGCAAAGATCAAATGAGGAAGAGCTCCACTGCTTAATTTCCAAAGGAAAGAATTTTTTGTTTTATTCATCGCCTATGCCTGCTGTGGCCAGGATGCTCTCGGTCATAGCGATGACTTGCTCGCTCATAGGAGCGGGAACGCTCATGCCTGTGATTTCTATAGTAGTGACTCTTCTTCTTGTACTTCCCTGAATGGTCCGAGCGCTCCCGGGATCGGCTCCTGGAACGCGAGGAACTCCTGCTACGCGACTTCCGTGGTTTGTGTGTTGAGTATTTGTAGTCTTTTGATTTCTTGTAACTTCTCACTTTGGAACCTTTGTAGCTAGAACTATGGTTGAACTGTCTTGGAGGAGAGTCACTGCGGCTCCTGGAACGGCTGTGGGATTTGGAACCGCTTGATGTGGAATAACTTTCACTTTTCCTATGAAAAAAGAACAGGAGAAAAAGCACATGATTGTTATTTCTTGCTGAAAAACGACCAAAGCTTGCTCTGTGAAGTTTTAGTCTGGGAGCTTCTCGCAGCACGCCTTTCTTTTACAACAGCACATACCTGTGCTTTGGGGATGCAGATCTGGACTGAGATCTTGAATAACTTTGATCTCTACTTCCACTTCGACTTCGGCTTTCTCTTCCTTTCTGAACACTGCAAGAGACAACAAACAGTTATAAAAAGTTATTTTGCTTAAAGTAGTAATAGGAAAAAATAAGCTGCTTTGTTACGAAAGCCTTACCCGTTTACTGGGCTATTTGAACTTGTTCTTTTTGCTCCTTCTGTTTTCCTCTTAGCATTCTTCATTGCCTGAACAGGTAGTGGTGAAGGCTTATTTCCTTTAACCTCTTTTGGAGACTCTAGAAAAACAACCCTTTGTTACTTTATTTTGAAAGTACGAAAGGACTGAAGCTCCCCTCACCCTGTTTCATCATCTCTGTAATCATCAGTACTGCATCTGGGTAGTTCGTATCTATGTGCACACACGGATGCACATACAGCCACCCACCAGTAGATCAGGTGAAGTTCACAGAAGGCAGAAGTTAATCTGAAACATTTCTGCCAAAATACTGAAGTAACACCAGGGAGTTAATTAACTACAATAACACCACACTGCTTCCAAAGCCACTTCAAGAAGGCAGAACAGCAACTTCCTTTTCTTGCCAGTTATTCAGTACCTTTTAAAGGCAAACAGAGGAGCAAGATGATAGTTACCTTCTCGGCAAGACAGGCACCAGACTGGAAACTTCACACCAAGTATGCAGGAAAATATTCCCCACCCGCCACCCAAAAATGCTACTGCTGCCAGAGTTCCTAATCATACCCAAGCTTTAATATTGCTTTAGCATAACATGCCCATTGCAAGTATTTGTTCAAATTTACTGCCAAAACCACATCAAAACAAGTCCCTGTACTATATAAGTTTAAACTAGCCTTAATTTTAGACTAATTTGGTTTTAGCCTTTATCTGTTTCAAGAAATTACAAAGTTACAATGCTATTCAAACTCTGACATTTGAATAGTTGCTACAAGCCAGCTTAAAAAACAAACAAACCAACCAACCACACTGTATTTGCATCCCAAAAGGGTAAACGTGATTTAAAATGCGAGTTACCAAACACAAGTTATCCACTACTTACCATTTTTTGGGATAGGGGAAAATCCTGATGTGTTGTCCAAACTTGGCACTCCCTCAGGTACCAGACCTTTAGCTTGTGCTTTTGCCTCTTCGATAGCTAATTTCTTCTTTTCTACTCTACTTTCCAGATCAGACAAATCAACCTGTGAACACAGGAGTTCCCCTTATGACTAAATTTTAAAAAATACTTTCTGCTTCCTCACTTACAGGGAAAAGGGAGGAAAAAAAATAAATCTAGAGACACTCAGACACTGTGACTACTATCCTCTTCCACTTAGTGCACCAGGCTGGCAGCTAGTTTCAAATGCGATAAGGTTTTCCAACTCATGTTCTAAGCTGCAGCTTTAGTGGAAGTTCACAAAGTGAAAAAGCAACAAACCTTCTTCCGAGTATACAGTTGCAAAATTTTTAAGCAGATTTCTTGAATTTCTTCCTCGGTTGCTCCAAAGAGTAAAAACCAGTGAGGACGATTAGGAAGTGGAATCTGAAAAGGAGGGGGAGACACATTCAGTTTTCTGCTTCTATTACAAGACCTAACAAACCTGAAATCACTGGAACTGCATGCTCACCTCCAGCGTCCTAGCTGCGAGGTAAATACAAGCACAGGCAATGCTTTCTGGCTGGAATCTTACAAAGACATCTGTTCTCAGGCTATCATTCATGTAATTCCTGAAAGACAGGATATCAGAAAAGTTGCATTGCACTGCAAAGCTGTTGGGTGTTTTTTGGGTTTTTGTTTTGTTTTTACTTCTACAAGGACTATTTCTGTCTGCATACAGTCACTAGACTTCAATGTTATACTCCTGTAAATCTAAAGAAAAGTTGAATCATTATACTAAAAAAAAATCCCTCAAGGGGAGGGATGTGTCACAGAAATTAAGTTTGACTGACTGACTGCTGAAAATTCAGTTGTGAAAAAGAGAACCAATTTTAACCTCACTTTTCCTTCTAGAGCTCTACTGGCCTGCTCTCATGCAATAGACAAGTTATTTTCATCAAGACAATATACAATATAAACTGAAGTAATAAGTTATAAATTTTTAGGTTCATATGTTTCTCTGCAATAGAGCTGAACCCAGATGGTTTACTGAAAGCTGCCGCTCCTGTAGGAGTCCTCCCATGAAAATCCAGTCCACTTCAGCACGCGTCAACTCCTGCTGGAGATTTAAGGGGTCCTTTTTCCTTCAGAAGCATTATTTCCCATCCAGAACAGAATTCCTTTTGACACAAAAAGCAGCCATAGAAGAAATCAGGGTGTTTGGGAACATCAATGCAGGAGAATACTCCGTATTCAAGTAGATCTCCTCTTTGGCACATGAAATACGGTTTCCAAATTGTCCCATTTCAGTAAGGTTGCTTAAAATGAATATTCATAGAATGAGAAAACTGTAAAATATTGCATATATTCCAGTCAGTACACTTAAGCATTATTTTTTCTAAATATTAAATACATAAAGTAACTTCCTCTGAATCTGTCAGTTGATGTGCTTAAAGAGATCTAGATTTCAGAACATATATGTCAAGCAAAGTATCAGATGGGGAAAAGCTAAAACCCGACACAATAGACAGTCCTCAATAATACACTTTCTGAAAGTAGTGATTAACCATGTGGGTACCCAGTATACAAGGATTCACTAACCCCCAAGGCATCCAAGCCAGAGACCACAGTCCAAAGGCTTGTATCCAGTTTACACAGGAGAGACAAAAGGAACTTGAACCCCAAGAGTATCAAACTCCCACCTGCCCCAGTTGTCTTACATTCTTTTTGATACAAAGAGTAACTACTACCCCAGAAAACCAATGCTAAGCATCAGCTCATCCTTCTGGGAGAAAGGTACTTCAAAACCTACTTTTCTTGTCCAACTACAATGAGAGAACAAACCTTTTGGCAAAAGAAGCGATAAAGAAAAGTGGTACTTCAAACATCTGGAAGTCATACAGCCTTTTTGTAATCTGCCAAATTGAAAACACGCCTGCTTCCAGGGCTGGCTTCTGCTATTTCCCCTGTGGGCTCAGATCAGACACATGAGGAAATGAATCCTTGTCACAATAGTTTAAGAAAAAGGTTATGTTGTAAAAACACATTTCAAAAACCAATTATACTGGATATCCACCGCTTCTCAGGTACTGGAAGCAACAAGCAGCAGTAGACAAATAAGTTATTGTAACATCTGAACCACTTCCCCACTGGGGTTATTTCATCCCTCCTCCTCACCTACCTCTCCTTTCGTAACAAGTAGAAAACTGGTAACAAGTAGTCCGTAAGTCACATTCAAGTACTTCATGCAATGGTACTGAGAAATCTGGTAGTGGGAAGTTTCCCTAAGTATTACATTTGACTCCAGGCTTCACACTTCTACTCAAATGTTCTAACTAGATGTCAAATGGAAACTAGATTTCAGTTTTTATTGTGTTAATCCATCCCTTTAAGACTTAAATCCCACCTTAATTTGCTTTATCATTTAATAATACATAATTTTAACCATTAACTATAACATTAAAAATCTTTCAGAACAATCAGGTTATAAAATATACATAAACAGTCAAAATGCACAATAAAAATAAAAGTCAAACAGTAGAAGCACAAGAAGCAGTTGGCCAGTTACTATACTATCACGTATATACCACCTGTCTAGAGTCAGCCTTCTCTTTGTAGAGCCTGCTTTGGTTTGACTGAAGACGGCAGCTATCCCTGCACCATAGCGCTTGGGCAGCAGAGGAGAAGTCTTAGTCACTTACCCTCAGAGGCTACCCTTTGATTAAAAGAGTACAGAAAAGAAAAGTCAAAACTGGTTCTCTACACACAGGTCACAGTACCAGACAGTTCAGTCAGCAGAAATATGATCTTTGGATTCACTAAAGGTTTTTCAACCACAGTATTGTTAAAATGCATTCTTGTTTAAAAGCATTATCTATTCGTTAAGTTTAAGACCGGGAATTTTACATAAGCTTCCCAACCCCAAGCAAATCTTTGCTGTAATGAGCACAACAAGGCAGAGAACATTTCCTGGCAAATGTGAAAACATTTGAGTTTATCCAGTCTTAGAAGCTGACATCTTGCATTATCCATACAGATAAAAGAAATTTATCTGTGCTGAGTTTTTGATACACCTTTAATCAAGCTCCAGCCCTGGGAGAAGCCATTTCCCAGCACTGGTAACAGACTTTAACTACACTTAGTTTTCTCTGAAGAGCAAAAAACCAAGAAAGCCCTCTAACCCACTCAACATTTTCCCTTTAGCTGAAACATGAAAGCAGAGAGGAGGGAAGTGAGAAGTCAGGGTGGAAAGCTACCTTACCATTAAAACAGTGCCTCTAACTTAAGAGCACACCAAGAACCACTGGAGCTGCCTGGTGTGGCCCACAATCATTTCTGAGCAATGCTGCCCAGAGTGCCTCAAGTGACATATTTCTGCTACTGCCCCTGCTGGTCTCTTAAAACAAAGAAAATCAACTTACCATGAAGTCTGGACCAGGTGTTGGTTACGTTCACATTCTAATACCTGAAGGTACATAACGATTATCTGGAAGATATGGGTTATTGAGTTATTAACAAGAATCTTGAGAGCCACCTGTTTATTTCAGAGGGACATCCACGAGGCATCTGTTAACTCTTTCAATGCCTAAAACACTCCACGAGTGTTTGCAACATCCCCAGTGTTTATCCACACAGCTTCTGCTCTCCAATGCAAAAGTCTGCATGAGTTGTCACTCAACCACCTCTGACCTTCCTAGCTCTCCATCTTCTGAGCTCAGTCATCATCCTATTCATCTAGATGTCGTGTCTTCAACTCTTTTCAAGCTAGGCATGTTCTCCTATACAATTCCCGATTCCTTTTTAGCTGTAACTTGGGAGAAAATATCGCTAGCTGCAATAGGCAGTAATAGAAGTGTTACAGGATTTGCAAAGAACAGATCTAACGTGTGTCGTTCATTTATTCAGTTCTAGTTTTTTTTTTCTTAAGTTTGAAAGGAAAACAAGGATGCAGACAAAGACTAATAGCAAAAATTCATATCAATTAACAAACAAGTACAATTGTCCTCTGGGATACTGATAATATGAGGGAATTCTGAAAGTCAAGTAGGCTTAAAAAGACCTTAAAAGACATCAGTATTTTTTAGAGAAAGGAAGAGCAAAATCCCAAGTTCTGCTGGCACAGAAGTAGGAGGTTCTTTTATCACACTTAGCTACTTAAGGCATAATGCCAACAGTACTAAAGCACCAGCTTAGACATTTGCAGTTGTTACATCCTCCAAGTATCATCCTAGTCTGACATGTGATACTTAAATATTAAGAATTGTCTCATTTCTAGTCAAGCCCTTCACGCCAAAGTGTACTTTTCAGAACACAAGAAACACTGCTAACTAGCTCAAACAGGTTTAATAACCTCAGCGTGTTTCCACAAGGACTGATCATGACACATGGTGCTTCTGATAAGAGGATATCACAACCCTAGGTTTCCAAATTCCTTTCTGCTTAAGAATCTATGTTTAGCTGATGTTTGCTAACACAAAAACCACCTACTTATATAATTTAACTTCAAGGAATACTGAGCATCTGCATCCACCTCCAGTCGTCACTCAGCAGCGATAAAGACCAACTAGTAAGAATCTCTTAAATGAGAAAGACATCGGGATCATAAACTAGCTTTACCGAATTAACTAGTGTCATCATGTACAAACCACACAGCTTCCAGGCCATTAAGCTGTCTACTCAAAGCATTTATAGGACATGAAACACTGATTATAAAGTTAGCTTACAGAGTACAAACCTTATGAGGGTGCTTTACATGAACGCAAAATCCCAATTCCTTTAACACTCTTCTCTCAGCCTTAATAATTTGATTCTTCAAGTTCACGTATTCTTGATCCAGTATTAGAGGCACAGGTTTTCTGCAAGACAATTTCAAATTCTGAACATAATCTCAAAGAGTATTCATATGCAGGTTAAATTGTGTTCATGTAAAAATAAGAGGCATCACTATTTATAACACCAAAAATATTTATTCAATAAAATGGGTCAACTCACTTTTATCTTTCATGAGATCTCTTCAAGATGTTCCCTGATTTATGAAACAGGGAATGATACTATCATCTGCTCACGAAGTTTAATAATCAAAACACAACATAAATACTTCAGATTATTTCAAAATCGAAGCTTACTTTTTTTCCCGTAGATGCCTAAGCCGATGGAACACGTTAATTACATCCCTTATGCGTCTTGGTGCCTCTTCAATTTTGGATGCCAGATGGACACAGGCCATTGACACATGCTGAAATACAAGTATTGCAAGAGACTGATGTTTTGCTCAAATCAGGAACCGATCGCCTCCAACATCTTAAGGAGGGATAACAAGAGACAATGGCAGTAAAGCAAGGAAACACTAAAAATTTGACAAAATCAGTACTATGTAGCTTTGTAAAATCACGTTGATAAGTAAAATCTACCGGACAGTTACCAACACTCTAACCACATATAAATTGATAACTTGCCAAAATAAATCAAAAATTAAATAACATTTGTAGCCATGCATGTTATAAAATACTTTCTTACCTCCATGGAATGCTTCACAAAAGACTTGGTATAAAAAAACCGCTGAAACAGCACCTGTCCTGTTGCCATCGCCACCTAAAAAGGAAGTAACCACAACAGGTATTAACAAACAACTACCAGTTCCAAAAATAACTTACCTAGAAAGATTTCAACAGATTTAAGACCCAGAAGAGTAGTTAAGCTATATTTAACTACGGGAGTAAGTTCGGTGGTATCTAAAGAACACTGGCACCCTTGCCTCAGTAACCAATTAAGTTGCCCAAAATGCTAACAACATCACAAATCCTATCTGTAAGTCAAACACATACATTAAATCACAAACTTATTTTATGATGTACGAAAACATGCTCCAAATTAAATTAAACTAAACCAACCTGAACAACCCAAACACCAGAACCCAATAAAACTGAAAATTATGACAGTGCGCTAGAAAAACTACTTTTTCAGCATGGATGGGGCAGGGAATCTAACGATATTATGATTTCCATCTACTCAGAACCCAACCTGAGTAGCTGAGCCTCACGAGCTGGGAGACACCCAGAGAGCAAAGAACCCGTTTGCCAGGAAACGAAGCCTTTCTGAGGTCACTACCATTCAAAGGAATCTATCAACTCCTTCTTTCCGCAAACCCCAGTTTTAAAAACAAATTTAAAACACTGTGGGAGCCGCTGTCCTGCCCAGGAGGAGGCGGGGGGCCGGAGGAGGCGGCGGGGGCGGCGCAGGAAGACGGTTACATCATCCTCCTCCTGCTCCCAGCCGGGCGGGGAAGGCCGCAGCCCT